AGGATGGTAAATATTAACATTATTGTCTAGAAGAGCATAGCAGGACATTTAATTTAAACTTACAACAAGTATTGTTAGGTATGTACATGTGAGAGTTTGCTAAATAGTAAGCTTAGGTGTCGGAGCAGGCTGGGCATGCTAAGATTAGTGTCGCCAAGGCTGAAAGCGTAAGGTGTTAGTTAATTAAGCAGGGTAGTGTTTTCTAACTGCTGTGTGGGATTAGTGGGGCTGGCGTTTGGTGTTAGGTAGTTGGAGCGTGAGTCATCAAAAGTGTGGTGTGTAGCGTACACCTTATATAAGCACTGCGAGTTTGTGTTGGGCCTTTGGCATGTAATGTTGCCTATATGTCATATCGATATTTAAGGAGTGCAGCCTCCTGTTTAAACTAGGAATCATGCTGGTTAGATAGCGCATTCATCTGTTTTATCAAGATATTACACATCACCAACGGTATGCAGAAAAATGTAAATAGCATACGATTAGTAAACAAGGTTAGTAGAAATTAGTAAGGCAAAAAAAAAAAATACCTAGTGGTCTCTGCTTAGGCTTTGCGGGTGTACCTCCTGATTAGTAACCGGTGGCTGTATATTGTGAAGGGTAAGTCCCATAGTCTCTCCTGAGAGCGGAGTTGCATAGAAGGCTATGGTGTGAGCTCATCCATCCAGACTTGATGCCACAGGTTGTTATCCTATACCTGTGCAAACCGGCTTATTAGTATATGGAGACAGTGTCCACTCGTCCGTTCTGAGAGTCCTGCTGGCTGGCTTAACAGGTAGTGGGAAGGGCTGCATGTTGGTGTGGTTTGGAACCAGGCTGGAGAAGAGTGTAGGTTCTTTATCTTTTCTGCGTTAGGCTGTGTGTTGGAGGTGGGTTTGGATGGCACTTGCTGTGTTTTTGCATGGAGTAGTAGCCACAATCGGTCGGCACTTGCTGTGTTTTTGCATGGAGTAGTAGCCACAATCGGTCGGCACTTGCTGTGTTTTTGCATGGAGTAGTAGCCACAATCGGTCGTAGTCCCCACGCGGTGTTATGAGGCTGCAGTGTGCGGCGAGTCTCTGGTCCTTTGAAAGACTCTGCCTTAGCTTGAGATGGTTTCTGCTTGTATGGTGCCCGCTGTCTGAGGGATTGGAGCCTCCTGCTTCGCCACCATTTTGGAGCCTTCGCCCCTGCCGGGGCCGTGGGTGTCCGTTGCTGTGGCGTTAGCAGCTCTAGGGGTGACTGTACTTGCCACTGTGCTGGGTCGGTCTGATGTCGCTTTTCCTCCAGCTTCTGCCAGAATGCTTCCAGGATTTTATCCAGCTTGTACATCAGGTCAGTATGATTTTCGTCGGAGTCAGGGTGCCACATGGCTGTCGCCATGTTTGAGGGGTTGCTTGTTGAATCCTTTGAGCTGCACCGGCATGGGAGATCAGCCGCCTCTCCCGCCCGGCTCTCTCTAGGCCGCATGTTCCGGGTTTCGCAGCAACAGAGTTGCTTTCGAGTTTCAACCCTCCACCTGGTACTGTAGCCCGGTCAGGAGGTGTATTAGTCGCTTTGTAGGTTTTTGCTTAAGTTTGATAAGTCTATATCTGCTTATTTTGTCCAACTTGGAGAGGAGCTCAAGCTAGACACGTCTTTCCACCATGGCAGTCAGGCCCCGCCCCCATGAACCAAGTCTTTTATAAGTCTTTCAACATGGCCCATAGTCCTTGGGCAGGAGGCTAGCCGGAAGGAGCATTTATCACACACAGTACATTGGTGGAGGAATGAATATGGAAGAATCACACTGGTTAACCCCTTCGCGACCGATGACGGTTCACCGGTGACCGCTCAACAGAGCGGTCACAATAGGTGTCCATGTATCTCCCTGCAAGTGTAAAATAAAAAAATGTTAATGTTAATAAAAAATATAATTATATATGTGTGTATATGGAACTATATAATATAACATATATAATGTCATAATACAAACAAGTCTACACAATAAAGTGCAAAAAAACACACACAAGTGTGGGGGTGGTAGCTGGAATATAAGTGCAACTCCACAGTGTTTAAAAAACCACTTAAAAAACACACAAATACAAATATTGTTAAAAGATAAAGATAGAGGAGTGCAGGTAAAAATATGTGTATAATATACTTATAAATGCTTGATTGTCCTTTAGATGTTACCTATATACAGAAAAGGATAAACATAGCATAATACTGTTGGATTAAAAGATTGTCAATAAGTAAATATTGGTTTCACTCACACTTTGCAGAGCCACATATAGTAGGCTCTGACTTTTGTCGCTCTTTTCAAATCCCTGATATATTTGACTCCACCACACCTCCAGGTCTCTCCACTTTTGCCAGGATACAGGAGATATAAATGATTCCAAAGGAGATAGGGGATATAGGTCAAAAATTTATTTAACATATATAGTTAAAAACAGGGAAATCTATAAAGTGCATTCAAGTGAAAATCAATAAGGTAGCAGCACTGACGCGTTTCGACCGTCAAAACAGTCTTTTTCAAAGTGCATAAAATGTTCGTCTCCATACTCTGTATATATACCATTTGAATTTGGCGCCAAAAATCTCCGTTCGCTGGCGTCCATGTACTTCCTGGTTTCGCCGGCCGGCTTACTTGTCTCCGCCCATTTTTACGTCAGATTGCGTTTAGTTGCGTCTGACGTCAGATGTCTTTTTCCCGAACCGGAAGTAACTCAAATTAGCTCCCTGAAGCTGCCGCAGCCATCTTAAAAGAGTCTTTATAATATATTCAGTATGGGACTATCCTGGCAATATATTCTTCAATTTGTAACAAAGTACAAACATCTCGATCTTTATAAACCTATGTTGCTAATAAAAAGCATATGCAATTGCACAGACATATTTTTCATAAGTATATTTAAAAGAAGAGAAGAGAATAACATATAACATTTAAAACAAGAGAGAAAGAGATAACATCATTAATATGTCTGTGAAACACAGAACAGTAAAACATATAGATTGTTAATACATATATTCATAAAAAATATATATATAGAAAATCATTTTATATTAAAATCATAACTATAAACCGTTTTTTAAAAATAATTAAATGAGCACACTCATTTCAAAATCCATATTAAGTCCTTTAGGTGATAGTGTGTCCAAATTAAAAATCCAACCCATTTCACATCTACTCAAATTTGCGTTGATATCACCTCCTCTCCAATGTTTTGTAACCGTTTGAATTCCATAAAACTTTATATGACTTGGGTCCTGATTGTGGTGTTCAAGAAAATGTAGAGAGACATTATGGGTTTTAAGTCCTTTTTTGATGTTATATATGTGTTCACGCACCCTCGTGGCCACACATCTAGATGTTTT